CCGACTGACTGAATGGAGTAAAACCATCTGCGCATAAACCTAATCTGACATTTCTTAGTTCTGCCGCGAATGTGGGATGTGTACGATCAAAGTGCTTCCAAGCCTCTGCTTCTGATGGATGTGTAATAACACCTTCTTGTGGAATGTGATCATTATGCCATCTCATATGTGCAGCAGATCTCATGGATGCATATAGCCGTTGTAGTCTCGGAATTATTGGAAAGTAGAACATCCTACTAACAGGCACATCCTTTTGCTTCCTTCTATTTCTAGATTTGGGTTTAAATCTTGGTGCATTGCAATGACGGCATACAGTTTCTGCAATATCTTCTTTAAAGTATAGCATGCATCCATTGACACAACAATCTATCTTTGTGTATGTCAAACAAAGTTTCGAAACTAACTTCTTTGTCCGATATAGATCTGTAGGAATTAAATTATCTGTCGGATTGGTTTCCTTAAGCAGCCCAATGAATTGATTAAAACATTCACGAGCAACATTATATTCAGCCTTGATGCTTAACATCTTCACAGCAACAGATAAAAACCGGGTCGGGTCGTGTCAACCCGGCAACCCGCCGGGTCGGGTCCGGATTCGGTTTTCCGACCCGTTTGTCTACCCGGGTCGGGTTAGGGTTGACCCGTTTGAACCCTGGTCAGTTTCGGGTTCGACCCGAACCCGACCCGTGACCCGAAATTGACACCCCTACAACCACATATGAGGGGATTGTTTAAGGCCATAAATAGCCTTATGAAACCGACACACAAAATCAGGATGTTGATGATCTTTAAAGCCAGGTATATAGACAGTCTAATGTAAATCTCGATGTAAAAATGCATTGCAGACATCCAACTAAGTGATGGGACAGTGATGATGAACAGCTGGAGCAATGAAGAGACGAATTGTAGAAAATTTAGCCACAAGACTAAATGTTTCCGTATAGTCAATCCCATATTCTTGACAAAAACCTTGAGCCACAAGAATGTAAATCTCGAAGTAAAAATGCATTGCAGACATCCAACTAAGTGATGGGACAGTGATGATGAACAGCTGGAGCAATGAAGAGACGAATTGTAGAAAATTTAGCCACAAGACTAAATGTTTCCGTATAGTCAATCCCATATTCTTGACAAAAACCTTGAGCCACAAGGCAAGCTTTGTGCCTAGTAATAGAGCCGTCGGAGTGTCATTTAGTTTTATAGATCCATTTGCAGCCTAAAACAACTTGATTTGGTGGTGATGCAACTAGATCCCAAGTGCCTTGAGCTTGAAGAGATTGAAATTCAGTAGACATGGCATCTTGCCAGCATTGATGTTTAACAGACGCCGAATAACAGGTTGGATTATAAAATTAGGTAAGTTTATGCTGGAGATCAAATTGTTGCTTGGGTTTTAGACTGTCGGTTTTGAGATGAGTCACCATGGGATGTCTCGGTTGAGGTAAAATATAGGACAATGTATCAGATAGAGGGGTGTTAGCTTGTTGAATTGGTAGTATATAGGAAGAATGTGGTGTAGAAATATTAGTAAGTGGAGATACTAACAAATTGGGAGATGTGAAAGGAGGATGTGTGGGTTCAAGAGGGAGAGACTTAGGTGGAGCAGAAGATGTATCTGTAAGAGTATAAGGAACAAGACTTAGAGGGGCTTTTATGGAAGTGGGGATAATATTAGAAGTAGCAGAACTAGTGAAACCAGAAGACTCAAAGGGAAAAGTATGTTCATGAAATTATACATGACGAGAAATAATGATTTTCTGATTGGAAATTTGATACCAACGGTATCCTTTGTGATTAGAACGGTAACCGAGAAATGCACAGGCTGAAGACTTTGGAGAAAATGTATGAGAAGCTGAATGTTGGAGGCAAGGAAAACACAAACACCCAAATATTTTGAGATGGGAATATACATAAGGTTTTTGATATAATTGCTAATATGGAAATAAAGAATTTGTGGTAAGAGAAGGCAGACGATTAATAAGATAAGTAGCGGTCATAACATCTTCAATCTATAATTGAGTTGGAAGATTGGCCTGAAGTAGGAGGGTGCGAGCAGTCTCATCAATTATATGATGATGCTTGCGTTCAACAAGACCATTCTGTTGGGGCGTGTATGGACAGCTGAACTGATGAACAATGCCTTTTGTAGAAAGAAAATCACGGAACAGTATACTTGAATATTCCCCTCCAGCATATGAGCAAAAAATTTTAACATGTGTGGAGAATTATTTTTCAATCATCGTATTGAACAATATAAATTTGGAAAATGTTTCAGACTTAGTAACCATAGGATAAATCCAAGATAATCATGAAAAGGCATCCATAAACAAAACATAATAGCGATATCCATTTAAAGATAAAATTGGGGAAGGCCCCCATACATTAGACACAACAAGATGAAATGAAGAATTGCATATAGACTCAGACCGGGCAAAGGGTAACCTACGACTTTTATCTATTTGACAGGGATAACAGACAACATGTGAATTAGTAATATTTAAAGACGGATTTAACTTTGCTATAGTAGAGAACACGACATTATGAGGGTGACCCAACCGAGCATGCCAAAGATGAGAAGAACCAGCAGTAGTGACGAGAGCCTTTGAAGTGGAAGCTTGATATGAGGATATGGATGACATGGAAACAAAATAGAGACCTTCACAGCAGGGACCCGAAAGGATCGAATGATTTGTTCTCTAATCCTTTATATGATTGCCAGATTGAGAAAATGAAACAACACAACCATTATCAGAAGTTAGACGATGTACATAAAGCAAGTTGTGAGAAACTTGTGGGACATGTAGTAAGGGAGATAAAGCAAACTTACGGGTAGGAGTGAGGAATATGCCTTGACCTGTATTAGAAATCGATAGTGATTGGCCATTTCCAACTTGAATTTGTTGGGATCCATGATAAGGCTGAGAGTTGACGAGATTAGTTGCATCATTTGTGAGATGCGATGTAGCTCCCGTATCCAAAATCCAGTCGACCGAAGAAGATTGAGTTTCTGCAAACTCAGCCAACAAAGCGGAAGAAATGTTACTATTGTTGTAGTTTAAATTCATCATGTGCCAGCATTTGATTGCTGAATGCCCTGGCTTGCAGCAAATCTGACATTCGACGTGAGAGGTAGAGAGACCGCCACGAGGGGAAAATGGCCTGTGACCACCATAGGAGGAGCGAAACGGTTGACGATTTCCACCTCTACCACGCGTTGTTGCAAGAGTTAATGAAGTATATGAGATTTGCATGGATTGAAGATCCCTTGCGACTTCATTTGCAAGGTTTGGCTCTTCACTGCATAACAACGAGTAAAAGTCATCCATACTTAATGGTTGCAAATTAGTGTGTATAGTTGTCTTGAAAGATTGATAGGGTGCTGGCAACCCATTAAGGGTGTACATAATAACATCTTCTGGATCTAGGTTGCAACCGACAATCATAAGAGTATCAACCTTTAATTTAATGTCAGATAAATATTGTTGTATTGTTTTATTTTCCATGGAAACATGATTAAGATCATTCTTAATTTGAATGATTCGAGAACGGTTGGTAGACTGAAGATGTTTACCAATCATCTCCCAAATCTCTGCATAGGAATCTAAATTCAAAACATAAGGGAGCAATGGTGCAGAAATTATGGAAAACAAGGCAGCTGCAAGGTTTTGATCTATTAACATTCAGGTGGAAAACAAGGGATTCTGAGTAAATACACCAACGGCATTGGTAGTTTGACGAGGAGGTCGTTTAACTGTGCCATCAATATAACCAGCTTCTAATTAACCCATTGGCTCGAAAAACTTTCAGCACTTGTGACCGTCAGGTAAGATGATTTTCTGGTGTCAGTTGAATAGTGATAACATTCTTAATGGTAGACATTAAGAATTTTAGTTAGGGTGGAATAGTAACCATGCCAAGCACCTGCGAAGCTTCCGTGACACTAGTTGATGTAGAAGAACTTCCAGAATCCATACAGATATATATATATACTACAAAGAAAACGAAAGCCGTGAGGCTTAATGATGCTCTGATACCATGAGAACTTTCCTGTACTCAAAAACAGGGAAGACAATGGTGAAAGAAAAGCTAAAAACTAGAGAGTAAAATGTGTATCTTCTCTATTCACTGTTGTGTAAAATAGTACACTATTATATAGATAGAAAGCATAACATAAAGATGAAAAAGAGGTGATGCATTGATGCAGGCATTTCGATCATTTTCTAGGCGCTAGTGGCGTACGGAGTACATACATGTGTTCTGCTCACCCTCAAAACACTTTAATAGGTTTAACCGGTGGTCAAATGACAGCCGGAAGTTCTGCCGGTATTTAGTAAATTTTCTGTAGTGTGAACTACGTAATGGTATATGAACTTCGAGAAAACTAAATACCGTCGAATAAACTTTTTGTTGGGATGATGCACTCTAAGTCGTGCAGATTAGTTCCTCTAAATAATGAATCATAGTAAATTTATATCATTTGGAACTCATTTCTAAATTACTTTTTGAAATCATCATTTATGGCGTTTGGCCGGCAACATGACTAATTCTCGACAGAACTAGAAGATGCACCCACACATAAATCTCCTGACCCACACTTGATTGCACCCCACTTAAGATGCACAGCTGCTCGAGAGTATTCGAGCGTGGGTTAATCATACTCGTCCACCAATCAAGCTAAACAATGATGGGCCTAATTCATATTTAATCACATGAGATGTGTGAATGCAACTACTAATATTTGCTTCTTCTTCTTCTTTTAAATTTTGACAGAAGTTAATGATCCACATGTCTCTAAACTCTTTTGAAAGCGTCACTCGAGGCCTCTACGAGATTTGCCCTCCTCATATGGAGCAAATTCAGTCATCCATCAAACAAAAAGCACGAGTATCAAAGCATAACTTAACCGGCTTGCTTGCAGAGCCACGCCAAAATCCCCCGCCCTACCCTACACTTGTTGCTCCTTCCCCAACAATGCATGCAGCCAGCGCCACGTGGCACGCATGCAACCTGCCACCAACTTTCCTCGTAGCTTATATACTCCTTCAATCTTTGCTCTCATCTCCTCAGAGATTTCGATGCAGGAGAGGATGAAGATGAAGCGAAAATTTTGGATCAGGTCCCTTGTTTTTGTGACATTTATACTGGGAACCTTGCACTTCTTAGCCACAGGAGCTGCCGGCCAGAGCCAGGGCCTTTTAGCTACGAAGGAGAACCGGAGGAGTGTGGTGTACACAGAGGCAGGAGAAATCACAGCTCTCGATGTTAGCAATGGACAGAAGGATTTCGGATCATACCATATGGAGTTCTTTACGCTCGACACTCGCTCGCTGCTTCTTCCCGTTCTGCTACATGCAGATATGGTGTTCTATGTGCACACAGGTACGAGATAAGGCTGATTTTACCGCCGGCATTTCTGACGGTTTATTATTAAAAACCGCCGGTTAAACTCGGCTGGTTAAACTCGGCTGTCGCATGGCCGGTTTAACCGTCGGTAATTCCGGATGTTCTTTGTCTGCTGGTAATACTGTCGGCAATTGATAATTTTTTTGTAGTGTTGATAGCTTCTAGGTAGCTTTTTATGGTGTTTGATGTTTTTTTTCAGGGCGCTTCTGCATGCATCTTTTAAGTAATTATTTATTTTAATTGAATTAAATCCTAACCATTAGTATTTAATTGGAGCTAATAGCCTTATGAGTTCTAATTAACTTGGTAGCAAATTAATGGAGAGGTTTGTGACCTGCACAGAGGAAATATTTGGTAGGAATATAAAATGATGATCCTTAATTTGTAGTAAGTGAGAAGTATTTTGATGAACAATTTGATAAATAATTGTATAAAATTCATTAAAAAATTTTAATATAATATAAGCACTTAATTGGAGCTATGTAATTTATGCCTTTTTTCTTCCACTATTAAATATATAAATTTTACAGGCAGAGGAACTATTAGCTGGATTGACAAGAATAAGGTTGAAGTTCTCCAGGTTGAGCCTGGAGACATCTACAGACTGGAAGAAGGAACTGTTTTCTACATCCAAAGCAGTGGGGATTCAAACAGAGAAAAGCTTAGGATCCATGCAATTTTCAGCACCGAGAACCCTACTGTAAGTTTATAATTTATCATTTCGCATCTAATAATAGTATTTTATTTGCAGATCTGTTCATAAATATATATGCAAAATGTATTCTTTCAGATAATTGTAGAATTAGATTTGTGTAATAAGTTGTTTATGTGACTGTTATAGTGATATATATATCACTACAAGAAAATCTCTCATTATCGACAGAGAATTTTCCGATAGATTATTCTGAAATATTTCCGACTAATTTGCCAACAGATTTTCCGACGAGCTTTTCGGAGGATTTTTTTCCGTCAGCTTTTTGGCGGATTTTTTTTGCCTGAAATTTTTTCTTTTTTTTTTTTCGACAGAAATGTTTGCCAACTCGCATTTTATCTTCGAAAAAAAATCCTCAAGAAATCTGCTGGAAAAATGAAAAATTTTCAGCCAGAAAATCAGCCGTAATACAAATTTTCTTGTATATATATATCTTGTGCATGAGCAATATGTGGATCAACCTTCGAAATGCTAAGGACTGTTGAAAAATTGTTGAGTTCATAGATATACTATTCAATGCAGGAGTCTTTTATAGGAGGAGCTTACTCCAATATTGCTGATTTGGTTCGAGGTTTTGATATGGAAGTTCTCCAGATGAGCTTTGGAGTAAGACAACAATATTTCTAATAGAATTTAAGCTCAAATTTACTGAAATACTTGCAAATTAATCTATTCTTCTGGCTTTTTCTCAGGCATCAGTTGAAGTTATTGAAAAGATTAAGAGAACTGAGAAGCCACCTCTTATCATTCCTTTTGAGGTAAAGAATGAAAGTGAAAGCCATAATAGCGATTGGAAAGGAGTTTTTGAAGCTGTTTTGGGAATGAGAACAGACGATGTTCTGAATGGCAACGTTGATAAGAAGGCCTTCAATGTTTTCAAGAGAAAGCCAGATGTGGAGAACAGGCACGGCCGAAGCATTACCTTGACTCAAAAGGATGTAAAATCATTAGAAGGTTCTTCCATGGGAGTTTTTATGGTGAATTTGACAAAGGTAAGCTTTAATTTTAAGAGAAATTGAAGAGAAATTGCAAGAAGATCATAGAAGACATATACATTTTGCTATATTATATTTTCTTACATTGTATTAGTTCTCCATTGATGCAGGGATCTATGATAGGGCCACATTGGAACCCAAAGGCCACAGAGATAGCCATTGTTATTGAAGGTCATGGAATAGTACAAGTTATATGCCCTTCAAATCCATCAGGTTTTGGAATCGAAAAATTCACAACAAAGAAGTTCTATGTGAAGGAAGGTGATGTGTTCATCATTCCAAAATTCTATCCGATGACTCAAATGTCGTTCAACAATTCCTCCTTTGTTTTTGTGGGATTTAGTAACAATGGGAAGAAGAACCATCCTCAGTTTCTAACAGGGAAATGGTCAGTGATTCAAGCTATGGATAGGGAAGTCATGGCAGCTTCTTTTAATGTGACGAGTAAGACATTTGAACATCTCTTGGCTAAACAAAAAGACGAAGTGTTGTTAGGATGTGAAGGATGTGCTGAGGAAGTGAAGAAGAAATTAGAGGAAGAGGACGAAGAGAGGAGAAGGAAAAAAGAGGAAGAGGAGGCTAAAAGAAGAGAGGAGGAAGAGGAAGCAAGAAGACACGAGCAAGAAGTAAGAAAAAGAGAGGAGGAAAGGAAGAGAGAGGAAGATGCCCGAAGGAAAGAAGAGAAGGAAGAAAAGAAGAGAGAGGAAGAAAGGAAGGCGAAGGAGGCTGAGCAAAGAAGTGTGGAAGAAGAAGAAGCACAAAGGAGAAAGGAAGAGGAGGAAACCCAAAGGAGGGAGGAAGAAGAGGAAGCACAAATGAGAGAAAAAGAGGAGGAAGCACAAAGAAAATGGAAGGAGGATGAGCAAAGAGCAAGGGAGACAAGAGAGAAAGAAGAGGAAATGAGAATAAGAAAGAGAGAAGAGGAAGTACAAAGAGAAAGGGAAAGAATGAAGGAAGAAGAGGAAGTGGGCAAAGGAGAGAAAAGGAAGGGGAAACATAAAGGAGATGTGATAAGGAAGAGTAATGAAGAAAAAGATGAGGCCCAAAAAAAAGAGGAAGAAGAGGAGGATGGAATGAGAAAAGGTGAAGGGGAGATTGAAAAGGGAGAGGAAAGAGAAAAAATCAAAGGAAGGGAAATGTGAAGGATTTGAAATGCTCCTTGATCTAGTAATATAAAAAATAAAAATAAAGTTCATGTAGAAGTTATATTAGTGTGTGTGGTTGTGCGGAGAATGGAGTCTTCAAACATAGTCTTCTTTGTTTGAGCTTTCTGATCTTTTTTTTTTTTGTGAAATATGGTTTGTTGTGTTGTAGATATTTTCATCAAATTTAGATATTTACATGAAATATTTTAGCTAATAATTTTGAGACTAGTTTAGCCAAAGAGACCAACTAAGGTTTCATGCAACCATATTGGTTGTTTGGATATAAAATATGATTTTAAAAATGATAATCTTATTTATTTGTGAATAAAATGAGAGAAACTTAAATATATAATCATGTTTATGGAAATTTTGAAAGATTTATATATGGAGTTTGAAATTAATAATTATTTATAATTACATTATGATGAATTTAATTATTTTTTATTTTTTAAATTTTTCTGGGAGGTAAGATTGTGAAAGAGAAACATATTAACTCAATTACTATATTATACAACAACAAGAGAGAATAATAAATAATTTTTGATAAATGATAGCTACCTTAATGATAAAAATATATATTACATAAATAGTAAATATTCACATTATAAGTTTGACATAATATATATAATTTAGATAATGTAACACTCAATTCCCTATATGGTAGTATATAATACGTGAACTTGAGTTTGAAAAGAGCTTGAAAATATTAGTAGTTAGAGAAGTAGCTGTCAAAGTTTTATTTTACAAGAGTATCGTCACTCCGTCAAAAAATGATAGAAGTATATATGAATTATACATAAAGAGCAGACATCAAGATCAATGATATATAAGGAAATCAAATTCATTGCGCAAAAGTATCAATATAGAGTTTTGATAGAAGTGGGTCAAAAGTGTGTTGAGAAATTAAAAGTATTGATACTGAGTGTTGGAATAATGATAGTGAATTGGTTAATAGGTAAAATATGAGGGCTATTTATTAAAGAGGATTTGAAAAAGTATAGGCAGTTTGAGGGATAATGTTATATAAATCAAATGAAGAGGCTAAGCTCAAATTTTTCTTAGATATGGAAAAGAGTTGGAATATAATTCGGGTTCCCTTTATGGAGGAATTAAGTGAGGTGAAGTGTAAAGAAACATTATCTTTTCAAAAACATTGAAAATATTTGGGAAGGAATTTGATAGGAGCTAGATGGTTCAAGGCTATGATAGGATCAATGGCTAGTTAACTCGATGGAAGGAGATGCAGTTGATGGGAGATGGTCAACAACTTGATCTGAGGCAATGGGGAGATTTATGAAGTGGTTAGCAGGTGAAATTGGCTCGAGTACGAGTAAGTTGTTAGAGGTTGTGAGGACCAAGGAGTTCAACTTCTTCAGAGTAGTTTTCAGTGAGGAGAGTTGTTGATTGTTTGATTGGGACAATAGTTTAAAGGAATCATTATGTAGTCATTGGGTCATGAAAGGGAAGTCACATATAATTAGTTTAGATGCTTATGATGTATAGAGGACAGGGGTGGCATTCGTACAATGAAACAGTGATAGAGAATCTTAAGGGAGGAGCAAAGAGTTGGATCAAGGCTGTAATGCCCCAGATATCAATAGTGAAAGGATTCGTCTGACATTCTGATCGAACTCCATTCCAGTTGCCTTGCTCGGACCTGAAATTGTTAACCACATATAATGAGCTTAAATAGCCCAGCAGGTCACCAAAGCCTATATAAAGAAACGAGATCTCACAAAGGCTCTAATTCCATATTAAAAAATGTGATGAGATTGTGGAAGAGCTATATTCTTACCAAATTGTTATGTTAATGCAAGCAAAGCTCAATCTATTGAGGATAGAACAATAAACATAAATTCAATAAAAATAATATCATCAATAATGAGGATATATTAATTTCTATAACAAATTATTAAATTAATATAAACAAAAAAGTTACTAGATATAATAATTTAGATATTATAATGCTATAAATAAACTAATGAGCCACTAACCACCTTATAATTTTCTCCATTTTAATTCCCATCTCAATAAAAGTAAATTTAAAAGCACCAATTAAATGACATTGTTTAAAAAATATTAGCTTGTTTTATCATCTCAAATAGTAGTATAGGACTAATGATGATCTCCACTTAGTGACACATTTTTTAGCTCTAAGTTTAGTACCATAGTGTCTTCTTATTTCAACTTAAAATCATGTTGTCATCCCACCTTAATATGACATCATTCATTTTCAATTCCAAAATCTAAACTTTCTTTTATATTTTCTCCTTAACTAACATTATAACTCAAACCAACATTTTTTTTTAATAAAACATGTGACAAAATCACAAGACATATGATAAGAAAATTTATATGAAACTCCCAATAAATCTTTTTTGAAAAAAAAGTCTAGTTTTGATATTTATAAATAAAGTAATAATTCATTTTAATTGCAAGATATCCCACTCTAATATAGTGCATAGTTATCTTAATCTATTGTTATTAAATCATAATAAACAATTTAATTAAAACTTTAATACTAATATCAATATCATGTAATAAATACTAATACCACATAGGCCAGATTTAAATATCATGATTTATGTCTTAAAATAGGAGAGAGTATCATTCCAATTATTTGTAAAATTAAATCATTAAAATTTATATAAATAACCCTAATGTAAATCCTCCACTTAAAAAAGATTCCAATTGTGATCAAACAATTAAATAATACCATGCATCATTAAAGCTAGTGGCTAAACTAAAGAGTTGAATGAGTAGACTTTTGACCATCCTCCTCAGCCTATAAAATCCTCATGAAAGGCATCGATCTAAGAGCTTCATAGTCATTATTGAGCATCATAAATTAAGTAGCTCACATTCTTCAATATTCATATTTTTTATTATATTAATCATATAATCATTTAGGAGAAAAAAATTACAAAAATACAAAATGTCAGAGAATATATATAGGGCTTATATAATTGCAAATTTGATCTTTAATTTCAATGACAAAACACTTTCATTATGTTTGATTTGAAGGGATTAGAAGAGAGGAAATGATAGAAAAGTGAAATTTTATCATTTATTTGGCTAAAGAAGAAATTAGGCAAAAAAAAAATTAATTTTTAGGCTAATTGAGTTTTTTTTTTTTTTTTTTGAGAAAGTATGAGTAATGATGAAGCTTTGACTTTTTTTAAGGACTTGCTATAAAGACTAAGTAGGAGATTGTGTGTAAACTTAGGCTTTATTTGAAACAATTTTTTACAATTTTTCAGTACAAAAATTAAAAAAAAGATTACTTTTAATAACATATAGAATTTTTTCCCTTAAAAAATTGCAACCATACTGATACACATCATGACTTAAAAATTGCATCAATATTCACAAATTTTTTTTTTTAACTATAGCTACACATTATGCTTATTTATTTAAATTATGAATAACAAAAATATCTTTAAAAACATTTTTATGTTATATGGGTAATTTTTAATTTTAAGTGTGAACAGAAGAATATAGCCTCTGCGAGAGTCTTCAAAGGTTATGGAGATTAGTGTCATCGAGTACGTTGCATCATTTTTAAAGCGAATTTCATAAAGCTTGATTCAACAAAGAAGATTTGACTCATTAAAATCAAATAGAACCACCCAGGACAGCCTGAGCTCATGGCTTGAGGCTATTAATGCACACTAATATAGCTCTTTTAAAAATAAATATTATTATATTCCAAATAATAGATACTGATAATTTTATGAATTTTAAATACTTGCCATTAATGTCAATTGGTTTTATCATTTAAATAAAAAATATTATAAATATATATATGCTGCTATGAGATTCTCGACAAAAAATATTTTAATATAGATTTGTATCTTTTTCTTTCTTAATCTCTATTAATATTAGTGCTTTTATAAAAATCAAATAACATAGCATTTATCAACAATAAACTAGAGAAATAAATTAAGTACAGTATCTTTTAAGTAGGAGCGTTAACAAATGAATTTATTCGAATCACTCGATAACCTGATTTGGGTCTGAAAATAAAAATTCAGTTTTGAATTTGCCCGTTTAATAAACGAGTCATATTTGTATATAAAATTTTGACCCATTTAATTTCAATTGACCCACAAACTCGATTTTAACATGAAATTTAACAGCTTATTTTTTTTCTTAAATTCTTCTTCATGTTGGTATGATATTCATATTTTTTACCAACCAACCTAAATTTTATAATTAACACGGTATAGTTTCTTTAAAATCAAAATGGCTGATTAGGCAAAGTTCGAGTCATCCATGTTGCGTCCTGGAATATTCGCGGCGGTAGAGAAATATATAGTTTAACGTCTTAGCGTTGTACGAAGATCGAGTCATCCATATTGTCAATAAATGGTGCATGGCTCCATCTTTTTGACCTGCTTATTAAACGGGTGGACTTGAGTTGAAGAAATTAAAATAGAATCAATTTTTAGTTGTACTTATCTTCAGCCTGTTAACCTGTTTTGATATCTTATTTAAGTCATAGAACAAAAAATATATTAACGACAACTGATATTATAGAAGTTTATGATGAAGATGAATTTTATTATCATTATAATATAATTTATTAACATAACAATAATAATAACTATCAGTTTTTTTTTTTAAAAAAAAATTTGATTCAAATGCTAACAAAACTCTCATAAAAAAGAAAAATTATTGTGTGTGGAATCCGAATGTATTCGGATGCAAATCCGGATGCCCCACGTCACCGGATGTACTGGGCCCCGGTGATATGGCATGCCAAAATTCGCCTCCAAAAGTATTCGGATTACAATAATTTCTTCATAGAAAGCCTATAAATCTCACCAACTATGCATCCCATGGCATTCAGTGCCTCGAGCTCAGTGAAGAAGAAGCATTAAATTCAACTTGTCAAATCTTGAAAGAAACTCCTCAAATCTCTCTCTATCTCTATCTCTATCTCTATCATCGTTTTCAGGGCCTGTGCAATTTCTTATTTAAATTATTCATCTTTT